GGGGCGTGGCCTGCTTCCAATGTGTATGGTCTTGATGGCAAAGCTTGGCTGCTGTATTTTGATGGATTTGGATCCTGCATCTGGCTTGTCATCCGACCTCTGGTTCTTTGGACTTGAGCCAACAGGCTGTCGTATTACATGCCGATCCTGAGAGTTGTTAGCCTGTGCAGCCTTTGAGTTAGCAGCGCCTGCCATTTTAGATGCCCACCTTGAATTAATTCAACTCCTTAGACAACAGCCTGCTGTCTGGTCTTCTGGTCCTTGTTTCCTCGCCTTGGTAGCTAAGTAAGTTAGAGATAACTTTCCACATGACATCTGACCCACAGATTTGGAACTTGTCAACTGAGTGACCCATTTCCTTGAGACAAGTCATTGTACATATAAATAAACAAGGTTCACTGGTTTTGCATCACTGGATTTCAGAGAGTCCTGTCGAAGACAAATGCCATTTATAAAAGCCACTCAAAGGATGTTATTGTGAGGTGTGTCAAGACGGTTCTAACTCACAGCCACCCTGTGAGCAACAGGAAGACATGCTGCCCAGTGCCATGCTGGACTCACACTTGTTATGTTCAAGCCCATCACTGCAGCCACTGTGCCATTCCATTTACTGGACAATCTTCCTTTTTTGCTGCTCCTTTACTTTGCCAAGCATGATGTCCTTTTCCAGGGACTGGTCTCTCCTGAAAACATGTCCAAAGTACGTGACAAAAAGTCTCACCGTTTTTGCCTCTAAACAGAATTCTAGCTGTATCTCTTCTAAGATAAAGTTGTCTTGTTCTTTTGGTAGTTTATGGTACTTTCAGTACTCTTCACAAGCACCATCATTCAAATACATTGATTCTTCTTTGATCTTCTTTATTCAATGTACAACTTTTGCATGCAACTGAGGCAAATGAGAATACTTGGCTTGGGTCAGAACCACTGTGTTAGGATCAGCTGGCACTCATATATGTGTAAAAGAAAGCTTTATATCAAGAAGTTATCAAAAATCAAGAAAATATCTCAGCAGTCCAGATCAAGAACATAAGTCCAATACTAGTCCACAAGTCCCCCTTCAGACTCATGTAGCCACATGCAATGAGACAGAATGAGGAACATCATATGCCCATGGGTGCAAAGTTGTATGGATCCAATGGCAGTGGCTGCATCACAGAGCTCACAGCAACATGGGTCAGTCAGCAGGAAAGTGAAGGCAGAGAGAGGGTGGGGGAGCTTCCCAGGGTTCCCCTTATGAGAAGGCCATGTCCACAGGAGGCAACATCAGGCTATGACGACCTGATTGACAGACTAGAATCCCTCTGTGTTA